CGGACATAATACAGAATGGATATGTGGGATATGAGTTATCCTAGCTATCCATGGATATGTTGGATATGAGCTATCCTAGCTATCCAACATCAAGGAGGACTATTCAGGACTTGTATATAGTATGACCTGAGCCTGGCTCAAGGTCAAACTTCCATAGCTCTTCAGCAATCAACTTGTGATTATCACTACAGATACTTTCAGCTCACCTTCACTGCGAATTACTTGTTGAAGTCTAAGACTGATCACCTTAGGCTCTGAAGACTTGATCTACTACAGCCTACGACCTACGACCACGACCCCAGTGTACTGTTTTAACGTCAATCCCCAACTTCTGTTAGCAGACCCTACTGTCGGATAGCTGACCGTAACAACTCTGTACCACCTGTTGCACAATGATCTACCTTTGATGCACGCAGTGCATAGCGGCAAGGTACGATAAATGCGCCCAGTCTAGGTTGACAAGACCACCTACCTCAGGTCTTGACAAAAGTGTCATAATGAAGCTGCATAGTTGACGCAAGACCAAGGGGCGTCTCACGGTGTGACGTCTGGTTAGCTTGACGATTCTTTAGACCAGTCGGTACAAACAGCGATGATTGCCCTTTAGATGCAGACCCAAGACTTTAAGATGAACACGAAGAACAGTCCGCTCTTTACGTGCTTTGAGGCTGTTTATGAATCTGCTAAGCGAATTTATAACCCTGACTGTGTGATTGTTTCCTAAACATTAAACCACGCGCTGAGAAGGAACGGTTAGTACTGGTGTCCCGGAAGTGGGTGTGGGATAATCTCGAACACGATGGAAACTTGGCCAAACTAAAGTACTCTTTCAGCGAACTCTGCCTCTCAGGCTACTAGACTACTGCATACCGCACCCTCGACTTGGTTTTATCGCTAGAACGAAATCTTGAGCGGTTTGGAGAAATAAAACCGCTGGAATCGATGACAACACCTACTTAGGAACGAATCAGCGAGTCAATACTTCATGTTGACTTACATGAAAATTATCACGACGGTAACTATATAAGTAAACCATCTGTCGAGCTGCAGCGGTTTAGCATAGGACAGCACAGGGTGTTTGATCATCACCCCATAGGAGACACAAATTAACCGCGTCAATGTAGCAACTCGCCGAGCACAGTGACTGTAGATTGCAGTTGGTGTACCATGTGTTTCGTTACGTCATACGAATTGAGCTCATTGGCGACAAATCTCGCTTTTTATGCGATTCGTACTGCATTCCTGACTGACCACGACTATTATCGTAAAGCTGGCTGTCTCGCCAAGACTTTAGTGGCATCGAACGCAGGTTCAAAGTCTTACATGTGAAACAATCAATCGGTTGTGTGACAACTCACGCAGCCCTTCGAGTTGCCCTCACGCACCATTTCACTCTGTCATCTCGACTCCCTTTACCCTTACGGGATCCCGCATGCCCTGGGTATTGTATCATTAAAATATCCCACATGAACTCAGTCTTTACCATTCACCCATGAATTCCTTTCCCGTTGTCTTCGCGCACAACTGTCACCACATTTCCTACTCTTTGCCGAGGTATCCGCGCATCGACCAAGTCAACGTCTGCTTCAATGTCCGAACAAAGATTCAATGGTCCGCCAAGCCCGTCCCATCTGAGATTTCGAGTTCCCAGTATTAGGAATCATGGTTTGGCTCCGGCAGAGAGCAGTTGTGAGGGGAGGCCCCCTATAGAGACCGTTGAGTTGGAGGCTCTGGAGGGCGGCATTACTGAGCCTGCTTCAAGCCAGTCCCACGACTCGACGATGTACCTCCGCGTAGCTTCGGAAGAACATGACATCAGGCCTCGAGCATACCGAAGGAGGAATGTCACTGCGTGGAATTTCGTGACCGACGGCACTGTTATCATCTTCCCGACGATTATACTAGGGCTTCTCATAGCGGTTTGGCGACTCGATGGATCTGAGACCCACCCAGGATCACTTGAAGCATGGCAAAATGCCATTACTGTGGTAAGCTGAATTCTACTTTCCTATCACAACAAAAACCCAGTCCTTCATAGACTCTCGTTCCATAACTCGGATCCCCTCGAGCTATGACACGAATGGGCTCTTTCACTACTGATACCTCACAAACTAGTTGGGCACGCTCTTCCCGATCCTGTTTGCGTCCATTGTCGGCCGATTGATGTCCGCTTCCGCACGGTGGAAGCTGGAAAAGGGGGAAAAGCTGGGCTGTCTCGAGCAGCTTATGGGTAGCCGAAGTGTTGGAGCTACTATTCAGACATTATTCCAGTTTCCTACACTACTTGGATTTGGACTTCTAAGTCTCTGGATATTTTCACCTCTAGGAGCTCAGGCAATCCTAAGAGTGCTGGAGTCAAAACCCCGCCTTGATATTAGGCTCGCAAGTATAACATACTTTGATAACCTTGCTCCGACCAGACTTTCAGAGCTCCCAATGATACAGGCAGTGGTGGAAGAACCCCTTTCATACATCGCAACACTTTACACCACACTCGTCACCATGCCCGAGGCCATAAAGCTCAGTACCATGGACCTATGGGGAAATACCAAGATTCCCATTCTACACGAAGAAGCAACAGAGGATTGGGCGGTTGTCCCTAATAATCCTGGGGAGGTTCAATACTCATCCTTAGTCGGCATTCCCATCAAATACGACAATGCTGGAAACGTCACGTTCCCCATCGAGTCCAGTCACATTCATCTCGAATGTTCAAATAATACTCGGTTTCACGGTGGCGTAGTCGGGTCTAAGCCTTTGAATTCCGGGAAGATGCAGCCTGAAGCTCTGGCCGAAGCAGCACAACTCTTCGCAAGTCAGAACGCTCTCGTCGGGCCCCTTCGCAATGGTACCTGGCATGGATATCCATTCAACAGAAACGAGCCTATTAACGGGATAAAAAATGGCGAAGCCTGCCGGTGCAATATAACCAAAGGCTCGAAATGGGCAGTGGCAGTCGACAGGTTCGTCGACAATTTTTGGTCGAACGAATCAACGCGAATGGGACGTGACATATTCGAATCCCCACTGTCGTTTGTCGATGAGACTGGTATTGAAGTCGGGTTGACAAGGTTTCTTCTTCAGATGCAATTTCTCATATTAGGCGGACAGGAGAGAGGCCCGCTACCTGACCAGATGAAGACGATGTGCTACGTTACACAGAAGTACGTCGAATCTCTAGTCAGCTGTTCCTTGGCGGGGGGGCAGCGTACGTGCAGAGTAACAAAACAGCGTTCTTCACGAAAACAACATGCATCCGAGCGGATATCACACCTTTCGTTCCCTCACACCTTCAAGTGGATCTCAGAACAGCTTCCACACATCACAAGTAACGGGCTTTCTCTCTACTATCTTCAAGATCCGAATTTCTCAAACCTTTCTTCATCCAGAATCGGGAGACCAGAAGCTTCTTTGAATGCCATTGATGACAAGGTTGTTGGTTTACGTTTCAGTCAACTCCTGAATACGTATATCATGTTAGCTCAGCTATGGTCCCACGTTGCAAGCGGCAGCTCGGATAGAAACGCAGTATTTGAGCCCAATATCACAACATCAGAGAACGCAACAACTTTTGTGGAGGAATACGTGGTGTTGAAGCAGTGGATGGGATTGTGTGTACTATCATCTGTGGTTCTCATCATCGCGGGGGCTGTTAGCCTTGTCTTCACACACTTAACCTATGGACCCGAGATTCTGGGCTACGTTTCAACGGCCATTCGCAACTCCGAGATCATCAAGGTACCACGGGACACAGACTGGCTAGATGGACCAGATCTCACGAAAGAAATGGCGGAGACGAGGGTGAGATACGGTTTCATGCACCCGGCCGTGGATGGTGCACAGGTCGTGGGGATTGGGGTCGAGGAGAACATGGAACTCATGAAGAATTTCCTTGCTCGCGATGGAGCTGCAAAATGACTTGCATTTTTCTGGGTACGGATTTCAGTCTCTACTATACAATCATTGAAGATGAGAGCACTTAAGCCGGTCGATGTCAGGCCGTATGAGAGGCCCGTGTGCCAATTCTTCAAAGACATATGTAGTCAACCACGTAGCTGCAGGCAAAAGACTCAAGTACAAGACCCAAGTGGATGTACGAGGTTTGGAAATGCCGCGACCACAAGCAGCGGGCTGACCCTGGCCATCCGCTCCTCTTGTGCCCAGAGGACTATGCTTTGCAGATAGAAAGGCGACTGACCCAGGAGACGCTCGGTGTATTGCAGAAGGAGAACGGCAACCGTCTTCCAGCCAGGACGGCACTTCAGACTTTGGAAGAGGTCAAGGAGGCTATCAGAGGTTTTGACGGTAGGGAATATCATCTCTGTGGCACATGTTCCATGATGAAGGATGACTACAAAGAGAGCGTTGTGACAGGATAGGTTCTCGTACGAAACACGAAGAACCTTCGTACTCGTGATGGCAGTATCTTTCCGACAATACCACGCGGTAGCATACTGAGCACGATAGATGCAGTGACAGAGGAGACGATTGACTTTCTCCTGAAATGACATATCTATGCTTGAGGGACTTTCTGCGCAACCAGCTTGAGAACAGATTTTGAAAAATATCAAGGTGCTATATCCAACTGCACCAGCTGCAGAATTATTTAAATGAAACTTCGTAGCCTAGCAAACCCTGACAAACCCTGGCCATTCTCCAAACCGGATCTTCATCACTTGAACTTCTGTGTCTTTGCGTCACACACTCTTCTTCTGAGCTTGGGTGCACATGCGCGTCCAGATGTATCTCAAAATCGGCCAGACCAAGAACCCCGAAAGCAGCCCAAGGATAGAGTCGACGAAGCCAAAGCCCCTCTTGGGTGATGAGCCAACCATGTTGCTCCACAGCACCTCCGTGTCGAAGTCACTGACGAGAGCAAAATCTCCCTTAGCCACCCCTCTGACGATGTACTCTGCAACATACTCAGCCGAAAGCATCTTCGTCTTAAGCTTCTCAATAGGGCCATCAGACGACTCGATACGCTTGGTGAGATCTGGCTTGGTCTTCTGCTCGTCCAGAAACGCATCCGTCATAAACGTATTCGGGAAAGCGCAGTGCACCTTGTACTGGCAGGTTGCAGTAGAGTAGATGGCGGCTTCTTGTCGGAGGGTGTCAGCGAGTGCCCGTTGGGCACATTTGGGAGCTGTTGATGGCACACATGTGAGTCTGACAATCTCAAGAAGAGATGAACGAATTGAATGCTCGCGCACCTGCATAAGCAATATAACCAGGAACATTGCAGAGGGCAGCTGCACTGCTAATGAAGATAAGCTGCCGCGTCTTCTGTCCCTCGTCTCCAGAGCTCTTCTTGTCTTCGTCGATCCACAGTTTGAGAAGCGAATGAGCTGGGAAAGCGCTGGTTAGGTAGTTGTTTTGCATGCATTGCTCAAGCTGCTGGCTAGAGAGGTCTGTGAAGAAGCCAAGTTGGGAAACGCAACCCCCAGCGACACAATACAGCGCATCGGGAGTACGGGGTTGCTCCCTGAAGACCTTATCGACCTGCTGGACGTATTAGAAAAGACCTTTGATATCTTTGAAACTTTTTCAACTTTCCTGTGCCGCATTCATAAGATCAAGCGCGACGGCATTGATCTCTTGCTTCGGGCTGATAGCGAGCTGCAAGAGCTCCTGTCGGGTTTGTTGCAACACTTGGAGCCTGCGACCAAATATCGTAACGTGAGCGCCTGTAATTCTTATTAGAAAGATACTCAAGTTGTTACGGCATTCCCATACCGCGTGCGACAAGTATCTCGGCGATCGACTTGCCGAGTCCAGTCGATCCTCCCGCGATGAACACAACCTAACATTGGTCAGAAGTCAGAAAGCCAGCCAAAGAGTCTTGACATACTTTGCCAGTGAAGTTCTGCATGGTAATCTCTGTTGAATCGATGGTGCTATATCAGAAATAGCAGGTTGAAGTATGGGGTTTTCACCGTATTTTATTGTTGTTGCCCTTCCACGTCCTCTTAGACGTTTAGTGGTGAAGCCGGATACCGGGATCCGGTCGCGTCAGCCCCGGCGTTCCGGGAATGGGGCCCGATCCTCCGCGACGATTGCCTACTCCGGCGGCTGCTTTTCCGGGCAGCATTGCAAAATTTGAATGATTTTTGCTTCCATCTTCCTTTCCAAGGGGTTAGTTCTCTTTTGACCAAGCACAGCATCAGGTTTATTCACCAGACTGTACTCGTGCACCAGGCAACTACGTCCTGGAACACACAAAACTTGCAACATGGCGCTCGCATTCCACTAGAAGCAAGTAAATATACGTCTCATGTGAGTTTGTGAATGGTACAACTTCCCAGAAGCCTTCTCAAATAAAACAAATCCAACAATATCTATCGGTGGAGTGTTCCGGAGGACGAGGTCACGAGTCAACGACTAGAATACACTTTCCAGCGAGCGAAAGGGTCGAAGGTCACCGCAGTGCACCATTCTTATCTCAAGAACTCACAAAATATCACATTCTCGCTCAATCATGTACTGGAGTCAATTCGCTAGGAGAAACTGCCTGCCCACGAAGTCTCATCCTCACCAGACCGTTGATGAATTGCCTTGAGATGGGAACTCTCCGATCCTCAGACTCCAGGATGGGCTTTTGTTAGATCAAACTTGACATGCTTTCTGTAACGACTCGAGAACTGGGCGATTCATCTCAAAACATTGTCGCCACCTTAAGAGCGGCTTGAGTCTGTGACACTATAGCCCTCGATTGAATTTCGTACTCTTCGCATTGCTTATTCGTGCGCAAGGCAAATCACTAGTAACTGCGACCACCATACGTTTGGTTTGATGAATCTAAATTCCAAACAGAAGATGTTCTAACATTTTAAACTGATAACGTGACCCTCGCGAGAGAGAAAGACTGGATGTACTGCGCATCATGCCAAACTTCACTCGACGGAGTACTGATCAAAGCGAGGAGTCAGGGACGTAATCTTGTACACCTGCTGAGCCGCTGTCGGCAGCGCACCCTCTTTCCCACTCTTCTTGATGCCCAACATCTCCTTGGCCCACTCGCAGATAGCACTAGCAAGTCCAACGACCTGTTCTTCGGTGAGGCTGGCGTGAAATGCGATGCGAACGCGGTTGGTGCCCTTTGGCACTGCAGGGGGGTCAACGGGGAAAGCCCAGAAGCGCAGAAGCTGGAGGTGAATGGAGAGGAAGTAGTTATGACGCGGCTCTGTGAGGACTGCAACGATGTGGGAAAGAATGGGCTGTGCTTCCCACTCCTCGGCCAGAGGAATATCAATAATTCCAGCGTCACGGACATCCTTGTAGTGTTGATTGTCAGTGATCGACTTGTAGAAAAGCCGAATGTGTTCCTGAAGTCGCATACGAGACTTTTGTCCGTTAGTCAAGTTGTAAAGCGCTCCGATGGCAAGAGTTTATGAGCACTTACCGGTTCTGTCTTCCCATCTGCGAGGAGTCGGTAAGCTGCTTTGATAGCAGCCAGGGTAGGGAACGATGCGGCTGTGGTGAAGCAGATGGGCCGGGCGTGGTTCACCAACATGGTCCGGATGGTATCGTTGCAGAGTACTGCAGCTACGATCAAGAATCAGAATGAGCCTTCGAATGGTGGCTGGAGTTGACTTACCGCCAGAAGCCCCCAACGCTTTGGAAAAGGTATGCAGGCGAATGGCAATCTCTCTCTGGAGGCCTAGTGCCGAAACAAGTCCAACTCCCTTATCACCAACGACTCCAGTGGCGTGCGCCTCATCGACGATGAATTGGAAGTTTCCCTTTGGCAAAACCTCCTTTGCGGCCTCAACCATTTCCTTCAACGGGCACACGTCACCGTCCATGCTGTAGACCGTTTCAACGGCGATGAGTACAACGCGCTGTCCTCGCTGAATCAGTGGCTCGGACTCATGCACCATCTCCAAAACCTCACGGAAAGAGTCGACGCAGTTGTGGCTGAAGGAGACCTTGACCTTAGCCATGCAGCGCGACATACCCTCGTGGGCGCTGGCATGCACGAGCTCGTCGAACACGATCGCATCGCCTGGGCGGGGAATGGATGAGAAGATTGCCGAGTTGCCCTCGAAGCCGGAGTTGACGATGAGAGAACGCTCAGCGCCGTGGAATGCAGCGATTTCGTCCTCGAGATCCTCGAAATAATCGCTGTTGCCGTCTAGGAGACGAGAGCCAGTGCTGCCAACAGTGAAGTTGGGGTACCGATGAAGCTCTTCGAGGAAAGCCTCACGAAGCTGTCCGGATGTAGCGAGAGAGAGAAAGTCGTTTGAAGAAAAGTCAATGTTGTCTTTGCGTTTTCGCAGAGTAATGAGATTATGCTGGCTTCGTCGCATGTCGAGAGCTTCCTCAAGGTTGCGGTAAAAGACGTCCTTCATCTTAGGAGCTCTGAGTTCTTGCGCTTGATTCCATTGCGCGATTTGCGTGAAGACCGACTCGTCCGCTGTGGAGTTCATTGTGTAGACGACTATCTCAAGAAATGTAAAATGTAGTTAAAAGCGGAGTGAGATTGCAATGGCTGATGGTATTGGCTTCTCGTCTCAACTTTCTGGGAAAGGCTGGCTTTATATGATGGCCAGATGCTGCAATCCCTTTCTTATCCATAAGCTAGGAAGTCTCCAGTCTGTGCGTCGGTGCTTGGAATCCGCTCACCGGACTCCGATATCCATGATGGCAATTTTGGGCCGAGTTGTCGGGGTCGCCGTTCTTCCAGCTAGCGCTACGAGCCGTAATTACTTGGCTGAACTTGGCTGACTGCACCTCTGCCATGCTTGACATTCATGGCAGAACGTATTGGTGGTGTTATCTCCGCTTGACCTTCATCTCGGCCTTAGCCGAATGAAGCACCGGGTAATCATGACACTTTTTTCTGCACAGGTAAATCTGTGTGAAACAGCAGAAGCACGGCAAAGCTCATTTTCGATGGGATACTGATATGCTCAGGATACGATTCAAAGTGGATCTCATCATAGATCATTGTGACATGACCTTCGCGAATTGATCCCTAAACAGTTTTGTAGTAGTCCCATCGGATCGGGTTGAGGGGCTTTCACAACGAATATGGTAAAGTTTTGCTTTTCGGGGGAAACAGTTGGCTATCCGGGCGGATAGCGGTACTAAGAGGACACCAAAGATGATAACGAACGTATAATAAAACAAGGTCAAGATACGCGCAGAAGAGGTTCAGGTTCCGCTGATTTACGACAGCTTTGAGGAATATGACTATCAAGTGTCTGACTTTGACGCAACCGGGTGACGGTCCGAAACTGGCATGTGCGAATGACCAGGCACAACTTCGCAAACCCTAGTTCGCAAAATCATAAACCAAACGAGCCGTAACACTCTTCCCGTTCTTCTCAGTAGTGCTAGACTGAGTCAGGCGTCTCTGAGAATCAACATCCTCCAAAGCCCAGGTGGTCAACGTCGACCAAGCGCCCTTCTTGCTGGTGCTAAACTCCTCAATAACCTCAGTCACCCCAGACTCCCGAAGCCGCCGGCCAAGGTCGCCGCATTGAACCTTGTCAATCGAAACGAATTTGACGTTTGTGACCAGAGCTCCAAAAGCCTGCGTCTTTTGGTCGCGATCCACGCCGTCGAGAACATAGTTATCCTCACTCTTGAAGTTGCCGGGGGTTACTGTCTGTTCCTGATGGATACTGAAGATTGGGTCGTCGCCGGAATCCTCGGATGTCAAGGAGTTCTGCGTGATGGAAAGGCTGATTCCGCCACTGGTGAGGACCTTGCGAGTGATCCAGCTCAGACCTTGCTACAGTTGGGTAAAGGTTAGAGGGGCTTTCTGACGGACGCGAACATTAGTTACCTACCATTGCCAAAGTGTCTGACAAATCATCCGAGAGCGATCTGTTCTTTGTATTCTGTTAGACCATAATCGCGGTACCAGTTGAATGGGCATTAGCATACCACAATCCAAGTACCGTTCAAGTTGCGGATTGTCTTGGTTCCGGGAGCTGCCATGTTTGTGGGCCTTTATGAATCGGAAGATGGGGGGATGACGAATGAGTTGGTTTGTTCAGATGATGAAAGAAATCCGTTACAAGCTGCTCCCGAAATATCTTACGATGGGAATATTTATCAAAACCTGGTGTTCGTGCCGGGAGGATGCATCCCGAATGCAGGCACAATACCCAGTTTACCTCATGGTCTATTGCAAAACGCCCCCGTGGCCAGCTGGGTTGAGCGGCTCGGAGTCCGACAGCTAGAAGGATCAAATCCTACAATGTTTTCCTTGCATATGATCCGCGGCGACATGATAGCTTACACTTGTCCGCTGTCCGTGTTCCGACGGATTGAACAGCGGTTTCCGGGCCGGACCGGGGCCCGGATTCCGGACCCCACTTGGACCGGGGCAGTCCTCTCTCGAATGTTGATCGAAAGATGGTCAGACTGTTTTTTCGTGCCTCGTCAAAAGATTCAATTGTGCAATTGACATTTTAGGCGTCTTTTAAGGAACCAGCAGGCTTGCCTGGAGCATGAGTGTTCTGCATCATGTCCATCATATTCAATTCCTCAACTGAGTACTGACTTAAGTCATCATGGAGTCTGCATCTGTGTCAAAATCCGCAATTCTTCAGGAGCCCAAGATGTCTTGGTTTCAGTGGGCACTTGAGCTTCTATTCAGGAAAAAGCCAACGTATCAGGAGATGCTCAATGGCATCGTCCCCATCCCTGGCCCTCCACGTAAGAACAATTCTGGTAACTTGCCATGATCCGTACTGACAAATTCTAGCCATACCCCTGATAGGCAGTGTGCTGGATGTCGATATCAATGACACCCTCAAGTCTGTGATAGATCTTATGAGAGATTATGGTATTATTTCCCCTCCTGGGACTACGTGTGAGACCGAATCTGAATTGACAAATGACAGGACCCATCATTCAGCTTTATACTGGATCAACAAGAGAGATCATCGTCGGCTCTCAAGAGCTCGCCAATGAGCTCAGCGATGAAAAGCGCTTCTGCAAAGTTGTATACGGAGCTCTACACCACCTTCGAGATGCTGGCGGCGACGGGCTTTTCACAGCTCAACACGGGAATCACGAGTGGGGGGTCGCACATCGAATCCTCCTCCCAAACTTCAGCCCCCTCAAAATTCATGACATGTTTGATGGTATGAAGGACATCATTGAACAAATGTGTCTGAAATGGTTTGTCACTGGGTACGGTTTTCTGTTTGTGGTTTGTTGCTGACACAAAATACAGGGCAAGACACGGTCCAGAAGCCTCAATAGATGCGGTTGATGACTTCACCCGTCTCACCGTAGACACGATCACGCTCTGCGCCATGGACTACAGACTGAATAGCTTCTATCTGAATGATGACATGCATGCTTACGTCAAAAGTCTTTCCAGAGTTCTCGTCGAGTCAGACAAGAAAGCACAATTCCCGGATGCAATCAATGCGATGCGCTTCAAAGCCGACGCACAGTACAGGGCCGACATCCAGACGATGGCTGACATATGCAAGGAAATCATTCGTAAGCGCCGCTCCGCAGGTCCAGACCCCGACTCCAAGCTTCTACTTGATTTGATGATTCACGGCGTGGACCCAAAAACTGGCGACAAGCTTAGCGACGACGCAATCATGTGGAACTTGCACACGTTCTTAATCGCAGGGCATGACACGACATCTGGTCTGCTATCGTTCGCTTTCTACTTCTTGCTGGCAAACCCTGACAAGATGGCCAAGGCGCGGATGGAAGTCGACTCCATCCTCAAAGCTGACGAACCCATGACCTTGAAACACCTCCAGAAGCTTCCTTACCTGGATGCTGTTCTGAAGGAGACGATACGGCTGCATGCCCCTGCACCTGGATTTCATGTACGTCCCTTGAAGGATGGCGAGGTTCTAGGTGGCAAGTATGTCGTCAACAAGGAGGATCCGATCGTTATTGTGTTGCATCAGCTACATCGCGATCCCGCCGTATGGGGTGATGATGCAGAGGAGTTCAAGCCTGAACGAATGCATCGTGATGGATTCAACAAGTTGCCGCCAAACTCGTGGAAACCATTCGGAAACGGAGCTAGGGCTTGTATTGGGAGAGCCTTTGCCTGGCAGGAGGCTTTGATGGTACACCTTTCAACCCATTGCGTCTATCGAGGCAATTGCTAACAGTCCAACTCCTCCCAGGCCATGGCCATGCTCCTACAGCACTTCGACTTCGAGATGGATGATCCGAACTACAAGCTCAAGGTTCTTCAAACGCTTACCATCAAGCCTGAAGGCTTCAGAATGAAGGCGCGGCTGCGTCACGAGAAAAAGCCAGGGGATCTTTTCAAGCATGAAAGCCAAGCCACTCAACGGAAGACCAATTCCAATGCCCAGAGACCACAGCCTAGGACCGAGCCTGCGCATCCAATGACGATCTTGTATGGTTCCAATACTGGCACCGGCGAGACACTCGCCCGATGGTTGGCCGATGATGCGGTAGCGGCTGGATTCGAGGCCGTGACGGTGACAGAAATGAACAACGCAGTGGGAAAGCTGCCAAAGGATCAGCCAGTCGTTATCATCGCCGCCTCTTACAATGGATACCCTTCTGACAACGCTGACGACTTTGTGAAATGGCTTAGCGGCCTTGCGACCGGAGACCTTCAGGGAGTGAGCTATAGCGTCTTTGGTTTAGGTATGAGTACTCTTCATCAACCCTTACTAAGGCTCCACATTGACTTTAAGCAGGACATAGTGACTGGGTAGCTACGCACAACAAGGTTCCCATTCTTGTCAATAACATGATGAAGAAGGCCGGAGCAGTACGGCTCACTGAAGCCACCTTCTCCGATATGGCAACGGCAGATCTCTTTGCAGATGCTGAGAGATGGTCAATGGAAAACCTTTGGCCAGCACTCGCCGAGAAGTATAACGTTCAGCCAGTGGAGACCGTGGGGGCAGACATGACTGTCAAAATCGAGCCTGGTACTCCAGGGAGACTCGCCACTCGGCGAGGGTTCTTTCGAACCGCAGTCACTCAGACGCAACAACTCTCACATCCCGATGTCCCGCAGAAGCATCATCTGACCCTCAGACTGCCGGATGACATTCGATTTCAGACTGGTGATCGTCTCCAGATACTTCCCAGGAATGGCCAGAGGATGGTGACCCGTGCCCTGTCACGGTTTCAGCTTGATCATGACGCGGTTCTGATCATCAGCAGTACCAGACCCCTCGGGTTACCAGTCGACACGCCAGTCTCAGCAGGAGAGCTGCTGAGTACTTACGTTGAGCTTGGGCAATCAGCCAGCCAGCGAAACATCAAAGCTTTGGCTGATGCGACTGAGGCGAGTGATTCTGGGAGTCGAAGTGATGTGGTAGATGAGTCCACAAAGACTCTTCTCCTCAGCCTGGCTGAGGACCTTTATGAAGCGGAAATCCGAGCCAAACATGTTTCAGTCCTGGATCTCCTCGAAAGATTTCCTTCGGTGAACCTAACTTTTGCCAGGTTCCTCTCCATGCTCCCACAGATGCGCCCCAGAACCTACTCGATCTCGTCTTCGCCAGTGAAGGACCCTCATCACACCGACCTCACGATCAGCATCGCAGATTGCGGTGTTGCAACCAACTTCCTGACAGCGGTCTCGGTCGGACAACTTCTTTATGCTTCGTTGTTCCCGGCACCCCGTGAGTTTCGGTTACCGGCGTCTCCCTCAACAACGCCCATCATCATGATTGCGGCGGGAGCTGGTCTGGCGCCTTTCCGTGGGTTTGTGCAGGAGCGAGCGCAGGCTGAGGGACTGCTGGCTCCGGCTTTGTTGTTCTATGGTTGCCGCGGCGCTGACTTGGATGACATGTATCGGGCCGAGTTCAATCAATATGACAGCCTCGGTGTTGTCAAGGTTCACCGCGCTTTCAGTCGTGATCCGGGTGCCGAATTCAAGTACGTTACGGATTGCATACAGGCGACGCGGAATGAATTGATGAAGAGATGGGACGAAGGTGCTGTGGTCTATGTTTGCGGGGGGAAGAAGATGTCAGACGGCGTGTTTGATGTCTTGGGTCCGATGCTGTACGAAGCTGATACGAAAAGCGGCAAGAGCACGGCACAAGACACAGATACATGGGAGCAGGAGTTGCCCAGGGAAAGATATGTCAGAGAGATCTTCAATTAGAGAGGCACTTGGCGGGCAGCTCTCCTAAATGTTTCAACTATAGACGAATAAATTGATCACAACCTGAGGTTAAACTGTTCAAATCACCTCATTTCGCCACAGGAGAGACTAGACAAAACATACACATGTTTGAACAGACGAGGCAGCCTCATAGCCAACTGACGAAAGCCATGAGGTTTGTGTGATGGTCTGACTGCATTATCACAGCATCATGTAGCAGCTTTCCAACCATATCGGATACAAACACACCGTGCGAGGTAAGCTATCTGGGTGGGTTTTCTCGGAAATGTGTTCCTGCGCCAACTTCAGACAATTGGATTACCACAATAATCCATCAGTCTGAGGTTACGGGGGCTTCAACACACAAATATTTAAGATGAAGTGCTGAAACTCCTTCCAGCACAGTAAGTTTGTTTGTGAAAGCTTTTAACTGCTGTGGCAGGCTACATGTGCTGAAAGAACCTGAAGATGCTATGTGTCTCGGTCGCATCAAGCTGCGTCAGATGTGCGCGGAGAATACTGGGTTCTGGGAAAAAAGACAGCGCGTTTGGATTTTAGTGGCATTAGCTATTTCGCAGGAAGTCCGCCCAAGACCGTACTCAAGTGGAAGGGCATGAATCAGGACTAGAGGCTGTGACTGGATGGACCACAGCTGTGAAAGCGAGAACAAAATCGAGTCGCATCATGGCCCATGACGGCCCTTCCTGTGGTGCTAGACATCCGGGACCCGTTATTCAGGCTTCTGAGCAGATTCCCCTCGCCGAAAATACGTTTCGTAAATGACAAGTGAGCCGTACTTCCATATCCTATGTTCCTGTGATTTGGACAGAGCTGTCCGTCTGCTGCCGCCCCGGGAGACGGCGTCCGGATGCCGCTGATTGACGTGGCCGAATGCAACATTGGCTGTTTGTCTCACCAATGTTTGCTTGCCATGCGTCTCATGGCCCGTACTTGGCTGGCGGAAACCGTAAGTTTCTCCCTCGCCAAGATGTCTTACCTTCCAGGGCTTTGCAATCGCACTCGCTTCCTCAAATGCTGCGCCCCCAGAATCACTCTGGAATTCATGGTGCGTCGCCAAGATCGCATTCGCAAAAACAAGACAGGCAGACAGGCAGACGCCAAGGGATCGACATGCAGCTGATCCTTCGTAATCAGGGCTCATGTAAAAGTACTACTACTGCGGCGGCAGAGTGATAGCCCCAACCTTTGTCGTTTGGCATCGCTTTCGCTTAAGCATGGACGATGTAGCTTTCACGCAGGCGCCTTTGGGGTTGGGTATGCAGCCTCCTAAGGTGGATTCCATGTGAAAGCGCCTATTTCATTCGACCATGTAAGACGTTCATCATGGAATACATCAGGCGCAATAGAATTGTGTCTTTGGACCAGCGACTGCGGGGGCCTCCCGTTTCTGAATGTGACTGAGATCCAAGTTAATTATGAAAAGCTTCAGTGCTGAATTTCCAAGTTTCATCCTTCGAAAGACTTTTTAATCATCTCATCCTTTTCTGCTCGATTGCTATTCATTGTTACCAATCATTCGCAGCCATGGGCCACGCTGCACTTCTCAAGCAGGGGAAGAAACTGGCAACGAAGGCAGCCACGCAGGCTGTGAAGGATGCAATGAGTGAAAACAAGACAAAAAAGAAAGGGCAGTCCGACTCAGTCATCGGTAACAAGAATGATCCCGTGGACGGCATCATCAGAGTCGCAGCTTCTATCGTCGGTCTTGTGTCAGAGGTTGTGCAGTATCGACGCGACAGGAAGGAATTAAAAGCAAACCAAACAGTCATTTCGGATGGGCAGCTTGAGGATGCATCGGTCATGACGCCAGAGCAAATCAACGAAAGCATTTGGAGACGCGACGACGAAGACCATCAGACAAATCAGATACCAACTCAAGGACCGACGGAGAACAAGGCATCAAAAGAGCCGGCCGATCTTGCCCAGGCTTTCCTGAAAAGACACCCCTCTCCGTCGGAAGAGAGGGGTACTTCGACAAGGATAGAGCTGCCAGTTGTCGTACCTCAAAGGCGACCAAAGAAGCGTGCTCGTGGCTTCGTGCGAGCTTATACGCCCATCTTAGCCAATGCAGACATTGATGAGGGGTCATTCCTCGACTTTATCGACACTTTCAATAAGACTCTGGAACCGAATCCGTACCTCTATGCCATGAATCTGGCCGGCCTCGCAGGTATGGCCACGCCTGAACCGTTCATGCTTCTAGTGGGCGTCGCCGTCGCGTTCGCCACGGACGCTACCATGGAGATTCAGAGCCGTAGCAAGTCTGCCAAGTTCCTCGACCATATCAACAAGGACTTCTTCATGCCGCGCAGGCTGATTTGCCTAATCACAACGTGGAAGCCTGATGCAAGCGATGAACTGATGACGCCTGTGGGCTTTGACGGGAGAGTAATCAGTGCTCCGTTGCCAAATGCAGACGTCGACTTCCTCCAGAGAATGAGGAATGTGAAGGAAAAGACATCAACCGACGCCATCATGAAGAGTTTGCAAGCGCAGGTCAAGAGAAGGACACAACCTTCCAGCGGGGATTTCTACTCCCCTGAACCAGCGCCACTCTTCTTTCCATCCCCCGAACAGACAGCCGAAGCGATGAAGACACATTCGAATGGAAAAAGGAAGAATACCCTAGATCGCGGCGAGGTCTGGTTTGACGACTTCATGGACCGACGCGCGCAGGCCAAGTGGATCGAAAGAAACCCCACGTTTACTGTTGCCAGTTCCCTGCCAAGGCCCGAGTTTCGGTCGCGATACGCTGACCCGACTCACCCGGCTGCTAGCGGAGATGTTGTCGCATTCGTCACCGGCGGTAACTGGTCTACGAAGGGCAAGACGTTTGGCAGAGGTCACTACAGTCAGCCAACTAATGACATAGATGGACAGCCTGAGGAGGCGGAGCCTGTCCCCGAGACGACCAAACAGAAGAAAAAGGCAAAAGCGGGTTCAAAAAGCGGCTGGATGAGTCTACTGCAAAAGGTGAGGAGCCCCATGAGCCTCTCGGCAACTTAACTGACAAACTTTGTAGGATGTCTTGTACCTTGTCATCGTCAATCTTCCAACCGAGGAGGAATTGAATCGAGCAATTCATTGACCAGTTTAGTGACCAAGGCTCTCCATCATTCCAAGCCTCAAGGCATAGAGAGTTTTTAGTTTTCATTAGCACCCCAATCTTGTTCAGATTAGATATCCTACATGTTAAGCTGATGGTTTCTTGGAGGTGGGGAATTTCGATTATCGTGCATCAAAAGAATGTTTATCAGGCAGTTGTGCACTACCCTAGACACGCGGGGACACTGCTTATCTATTGATCTTCTGTTCACTAAGTTTGTGCAACTAACGAACGTTCTTGTGTAAATCTTTGGTGAGTCTTATCGTCCACCCCTGTGAGGGTCTTTCGAGCTTACTAGGACATTGAATGAGTGCAAAGAATGTTGACATTGCATTAAGGCTCGTATGATGGAGTAGAGACTGATGAACCAGACAAAGTTAGTACCGATATTTCGACACTCGGTCTTCAGACGCCGTAGAAAAGTACAGTATAATAATCCACATGTCACTTAAGTATTAGTTTTCCATTCCGACAGCTGCCGAGATCCACGCTAATCGCTGAAGCTGTGTTCGTACCCTCGCTTTTCAATTGCAACATGTCTTCTTCGGAGATCTAGTTTGAAACGTCTAATTGGGCGTGTATTATATATCTACAGTATGTCTAAAAGTGATTGTGGCCATTTCCAGCTGATGAGAGTCATGTTGATGGACAACTATGATCCGAGGCTTTGCGCTTCACACAACCGTTTATAAAGCCCTCCATACCTCAGCAGTTCACTGTGCGTGCCTTGCTCCAAGATGCGCCCACCACTGAAAACATAAATCCGATCAGCATCTTTGATTGTACTCAATCGATGTGCAACTGCCACTGTTGCTCGATTGCCCACGTCTGAGTCGGCAAGTGCATTCTGCACAATCTTTTCAGACTCGGTGTCAAGCGCTGAGGTAGCCTCATCCAGGAGCAGAAGTCGAGGTTTCCGAATGAGTGCGCGAGCAATGGCGATGCGTTGTCTTTGGCCTCCAGACAGCTGCGATCCGTTTGTGCCGCATAGGGTGTTGACACCTTCGGGGAGGGAGCTGACAAAGTCCCAAGCGTTGGCTGCGCGAAGTGCCTTCTCGACAGCGTCGTCTTCAGACTCTGTCGTGGTCGATGGATCCGACTTTAAGCCCATAAGCACATTTGCTCGGATGCTAGTCGAGTACAACGTCGGTTCCTGCTGCACCAGAGAGACATGAGATCGGTAAGCTTCGGGGCTCATATCATTAAGTTGAGCTCCATCGACCCTGATGTTGCCGGATGTCGGGTCATAAAAACGTTCCAGGAGCGAAATGATGGTGCTCTTGCCGCAGCCAGAAGCTCCGACCAAAGCCACGAACTCTCCTGACCGAGTGTTGAGATTGACATCCTTCAAGACTTGGACGTCCGGACGTAGGGGATAGCTGAACTTGACACTGTCCATGTCGATAGTCTCAACCGCCCGCTGTGGCACAATTGCCCGGTTCTCCTGGGTCTCTTGAACTGTTGGTTGCAATGACTTCACCCATAGGTAGAAATGGGTGGCCCCCTTCCCTTTGGTGATGCCTGTTACAGTGTCAGCGCCGGTGTTTGGTCAAATGCCATTTCAATCTCCCGACTTACTGCTGGTATAAGAGAACAAGGTGCTGGCAAGATTGCCAGCGAAAAATACGCCCATGAAACTGACAAAAAACTGATAGAATGAGATTTGCGAGTCTTTGACAAGCGTGCAACCCCACCAGAAACCGAGGGCAAGGATGAAGTACTCCACAGATTGTGTGAAGCTGAACCACAGCATCATGTGGAACAGAGGCAAAATGGATTGGCGAATAGCTTGATCCAGCCCCTCTGTGTAGCGATCAAGAACGCGGCCCTCGATGGCGAGACTGGAAACCGTTCGAATTGCCAGAATCGATTCGGATGCGATTGCGGCGCTCTCCGAGAAGCGCTTCTGATTACTTTGGTCCATCCTCATCTCCAAACGAATGCGAGCGTATCCCCCCAGCGAAAGAGGAATAAGACCTGCAAAGACTCCGACAAGACCGAGCTTCCACGAGGTGACTATGGACAAAGTTGCACAAGCAATTATCGTTATGATCGTAATCACGATCAACACGACGTTGACGCTCATGAGCTCCAACATGGCTTGGGCGACGGTATCAATACTTCCTGTGAGAGACCCAATTGTATTTTCTGGACGGTCAAAAAACACCATGTCTTGTTTGAGGAGACCGTTGAGGAGGTCTTTCCGATAATTCACGAGCATCTTTTGAGAGGCTGCGTTGGTGGTGTATCCGAGAGTGAAGTAGTTGACGAAGGTCCCTAGACCCAAGACGAAGAACATGAGGGAGTAGAAAGCGCCACGCTCGCCTAACCTATGAGGCTCGAGTCTGAAGACATCCATAACTCGAGCCATCAATATCGACTGGCCAGGTAACGCACCAGCTAGCGCAACCAATGTTAGTATGGACTCCGACATGTAAATCTGAGAGAAGCTCACCGCCAAGAATACACGTCACCCCAATGACCGCAAAGTACCATTTCAATTCGGGGTTTTCTCTCATCAGAGACACAACACCACTGACCAAACCTCTTTCGCGGACTTGGTCAAAGTCATATTGACTTGCCGACGCCAATGGCTGCCGCTGCTCAACGATACCAGCCTCGGACAACAGACCAGGCTCAAGAGCAGTCTCTTTGTCGATGATAGCCCCAGTGGACTCGATTTGCGACTGTCTCGACGATTCCTTCGCATGGACCGTGAGATCCTGGACTTGGACCAACCGCGCATAAGCTCCCCGCTTCTTCAGAAGCCATTGGTGAGTTCCTTGCTCGACAATGCGACCACTATTCATGACGACAATATTATCCGCTTTCCTAATTGTTGCCAGTTTGTGAGCAATGACAATAGTTGTGCGACCCTTTGAAACACTTTCTAAGGCCTTTTGGACAATCCCCTCAGCGTGAGGATCCAGTGCGCTGGTAGCCTCGTCGAGGAGGAGAATCTTGGGCTCAGATATGATGCTTCTGGCTATAGCAATTCTTTGCTTCTGGCCGCCGGAAAGAAGACCCCCTCGCTCACCAATAATAGTACTGTAGCCTTCTGGAAGCTTCTCCGTGATGAAATCGTGGGCGAAGGCTAGCCTGGCGGCATGTTCCTGCAGCAAACCCGAGTCAGTGATCGAATGTTTGAAATGTTTCTGTGGCTTTGGATTCTTACAACTCGTTCTTGCTGTTCTGTCGCTGAAGCATACTCCCACCTAGTCCCCACTAGCCCGTTGGCGATGTTCTCGAACAAGGTCCCATTGAAAAGAACCGGTTCTTGCTGAACAAGTCTGACATGGGTTCTTAGCCATGTCAGGTTAAAATCTTCAATGGGAATCCCGTCTAAGGTGATTGTTCCGGCGGAGGGCTCGTACCACCGCTCTAGAAGACCGACAATGGTGCTTTTACCTGACCCGCTAGCGCCCTGTCGTAGTGAATGTCAGAAGACCACGCATAAAATGTGCCATAGTGAACACCAGTGCCTGGACTTACCACAAGAGCAGTGACTCTTCCGGCGGGGATCTTGAGAGTGTAATTGTCCAGAACTGCCACCTCTGGGCGGGTAGGATAACTGAAGGTAATGTTTTGCATCTCGATCTCTCCGCTCACAAATACATCGGCCGGCCTTTCCCCGGACCACTGATCGAAGGGATCCATTTGGGTGTCTCTGTCTATGAGAGAGAATAATTGGGTAGCAGCCGTCCCAGCTCGTTGAAATGTAATCATGTGGGGCGCAATAATGGTGAAAGTCAGTGTTGCGACTATGACGGACATGATGACACTAGTCCGAGGTTAGATTCATAAATAGTTTAGTTTGATTTTAAGATGGCTCACATGAAGACTGTCCCGACGTCTGCCACCTCATTCCGCGAAATCATCTTGGTTCCCTGCCAAAAGGCAAGCCCAATTGCCGAGTACATGATGGAGTATTCCATGCTGAACAGGACTCCATATAACGGACTCTTCTTCGCGCCCATCTTTTGTGCCTTGTTGAGAAACGTCTCGTAGTGGGACATAAGCGTCTCCCGACTTCCGAAGGCCTGCAACGTACGAAGAGTCGATATCAGGCTCTCCGCAAACGAAGAAGCCTCAGAAAAGATTCTGAGCATGTCGGTTTCAATTTTGGCCTCCAGCGTGGCCACAATGCCGATCACGATCATGAGTGCCGGGGGTACGCAGAGCAAAATCAGCGTCAGTTTCCAGTATGATGTGAAAGCGATGATGAATGCTGACACGAATGTGCTCATGGCTTGGAAGCATATCATCAACTTTTCGGCAACGCCCGATTGTATGAGGTTTCCGTTGGTCGATGCCTGTGTTGAGATGGAGTTCGAATTCATGTCGAAGTATGAGATATTCTGGCTGAGCGCCGCCCGCAAAAATTGACGGCGCAAATTGCGCACCATGTGGAAGGCCGAGTAGGTCGAAAGCGTCATGTAGATGTAAGTGCATACCAGACGTCCTGCACCAATGTAAATGAAGTATAAACAATGCTTCGTAACATCTTCCATGAATTGTTCCTTGGTTGAGAGGCCGGAGATATAGTTCGTGATGACCGTAATCAATCGTCCAAGAACAAGGTTCACAAGGGCAAGTCCGGAACCTGAAATCGCTGCGGCGGCGACGGCAATGGCCTCAAGAACGATCTCCTTGGGCCCGAGGTAGGTGAAGATGCGCTGTGTGAGTCAGTACAGCATATTCTCGTGAGGAAGAAAGAACGCACGATGTAGGCCCTCGTCGCCGACATTGCTTTCGGTTCTTCCATCTTCAATCGAACTCCCGAAGAAGTTGAATTTTTCCGTATATGAGAAGAACCCATCGCGGCCTAGTCTGAGATTTTTGTGTGGTTTGCCGTCCTCAAGTGAGCGTTTTTGCAACAAAGATAGAATAATATTGCTAAGGTAGGATGGGATGCATCAGTTATGCTGCTCTAATATGCAGCAAAGCCTTCCGAAGAAAAGCTCTATGATGTACTCATAGCCATGAGCAAATTATCATTAAGTGGTCTGCTGCTTCAGCTCATGTAGATGTAGGTACCAGACCATGACAGCGTTGAAGAAATCGCGTCCATTTCGCCCTGCAAACCGCAATATTCCCAACCAGCCTCCTACACGACTTCGCGCATTCGCATTCGGATTATGTCATAATCCAGCCGACAAAACTTGCGAAGAAGCCATGAAATTCAATCACTTGGATTGGCGCCCAGAGATGATAAATGGGTTAAGCGAGTGCGAGCTTGCGAATGCTGACCCGGATGACGGATTCCACTCACCGGCTCTTGGCATGCCTATCGGCACCAAGCATTCGATCCGCCAAGTCCATGTCTCACGCAGTAACCAGTCAAAGAAATTTCGCCTGTCTTAGGTGCATTCCGTGGCTCAGGCCGGCACGGATACATCTGGCGACGATGGTCATCGGCTTCCGGGATGACCAGGGGCAGTGCCTAATCGTCCGAGGAGACCACGGAGGGCGGATTTCGATTGCAAAAGCTTTGATCAAACATTTCGTGTCGGGCTTCATAAATAGCTATTGTGCTAGGGGCAATTCTCAAGATGCTGAAACTTATGTCTTAGCTACCATGCGAATGTGTTAATCATGGGGTCTCTGAGAAACGAGCGCAAGTTTTCCATCCCGGAGAAGTACCGGGACTCTCTGGAAATTTCTGATTTCGTTGATACAAGATCCGAAGACGAGATCCTCAAGCAACTCCGTCAACATGTCCCTGTCACATCTGAGAAAAACATATGGGCCTTTTGGGACACCGGTCTGATGAACAGTATGATGCAACTTTCTTACCGTGTGGATAATCGCTGACACAAACACAGCACCCCTTTGGGCCCGGCGCAACGTGGTTGACTGGGTCCGGATCTGCGGGCCGGATTGGACTGTCCGTGTTCTGGACAACGTACCGGAGTCGCCGAACTATGTTCTCAAGTATCTTCCTGCCGACCTCTTTCCTGATGCTTTCGTCGATCGTACGATGAAAGGACCATGGGCTGGGCAGCATAGTGCAGACTTCATACGAGGTGCCGCTCTGTACACTTACGGCGGCGCATGCATGGACGTGGGCAGCATATTGATCCGTCACATTGACCGCATTTGCTGGGACGAACTCGTCAACCCCAACACACCTTACCAGATTGCCCTTCCGCTCATTTACGACCAAGTGTGGGCAAATCACTTCATTGCTGCGCGGAAAGGAGATCCTTTCACCAAGCTCTGGCATGACCTGATCATCCACATTTGGACCGGGCGCAAGGAGTCTTCCGGCATGCTGAGCCATCCTCTGCTCGAGTTCGCCAAGGACGAGACTTTTGAAGTTGTAGACAATGCGAACCTTACCTGGGATTGGAAGGTCTCTCCTCAGACTGCCATGGAGTACATCTGGCAGGTTCTGGCATGGGTTCGGCTGTGCCTCACCAGCGACGCAGGAGATGGTTTCTCAGGGACCGACTATTGGTGCGACAAAGTGCTCGTCTTCGATACCGTCTGCGAAGACTGGCCTGGTGAGATGATCCTCGGGTTTGCCGGGAGTGGCCAAAAACTACTGGACATCTTGGCTATGCCCGTTGATGGCGAGCGACACTACTTGGAGTCTGAGCAGTACAAGTTGGCTGAGGAGGTGGTGTGGACTATCTTGACAAGTGCCAGCCTGCAGAAAGTTACACGCGCAAAAGGGTTGACTCACTCACCTCACCTCGGCACTCTATGGGACTTGCCAGAGAATATTGGCAAAGACCAGGCTGCAGGCACTTTTGCAGACTTGCTCCGCTATGGAAGTGTTCATTTCCGGCAGACAAGAGAGACCATTGCAACTCTTGAACCCCCAAGACCCATTGACGATAACATGCTCAATAAGGGTCTTTTTGAAGTGTAGGAGACCGACGTCGTTCATGGCTTCGGGGAGAACTTAGATATCGGTTTAGAAATATGGAGGAATACATGAAGTTTGCCAACCCGAGATTTTGTTCATTAGGTTTCTTTAAAGTGTATGGACGTTTTGACTTCTATTGATCATCTCAGACTGATCCAGACAAGGACTCCGATTCGGCCATTTTCCTGTAAGCATCTTACGAGGTGGTTTGGCCAATGAGCATCCCACCGCATAAGGTATGACAGTCAATTTGGCACAGGTGTAGCTGCGGGCGAGTTCCGTCTAGGTAAGTGTAAGAAGCAGGATGAATACCTATGAGTCGATAACATTGGCTTCCGGGTGTATTGGCGCTGTGGAGCCATCATTATGGAATCGTCGACAGCAACCGGTCTTTCTTATCTCCATCTCGCGTACTTTGAGTATTAGTCTTGTTTCGGGAATTTTCTGCAATAGCTGGTCAATCAATGATCGATAAGAAATGCGTCATCAGTACTTGTATTCTAAACAACCAATAAGGTACAATGTGCAATTCGGGGCGATGCTTTCGAACAAGGCCAGTAGATCATGCCCATGTTGGTTAACCGAAGGAGCCAGCTGAAAGAAAGTTTGGGCTGTAGAATTCCGTCCGTCTCTTGGCCTTTTCCAAGTGATGGAATAAGCCTGGAGTAAAAATAGGCAAGAACGGAGCACGGAGCCCATTCCGATTGAAACTTGCACCACCCACTGAGCAATGGGCGCTGGGCTCTGTTTAATCTCCATTGGAAGCACCAGGCTCCGAGCTGATCGCTAAGAGGAAGGAAGCTTCATGTACATTTGCTGAGCTCAATGTTACAATGGGTGTTGCGCGAAAATAACGAATACATCAGATGATAAATGTCATTCTATTCAGTCAATCATAGAGCCTTAGTCAAAGCCAAACCGACACGCCCGCTCAGTTTTCAAAAATCATCCCTCTGGTGATCTGCAACTAGTCATAACTCTTCTTGGTGAAGCAACTCCGTCTCTTGTACCCGATCAGCATGGATATCGCCTGTAAGATTGTAATGATCCCACAGCCCTTTGTCCACGTTTGGCGAAAAGTCATCAAATACCATCAGATCATTGGTTCTGGAGAAGCCGGTAAAAGCGTTGGTACCATTCTCCCACATAGTCATCAGCGTATCCAGGTCTTCGTGCAGATGCAAAGCATCCTGTATGTTGATGACTGTTTGTCCATCGAAAACTCTTGGTCTTGAATGCTCCAATTCCGTTTGACTCTGTATTTGTGTTGGCGAAGCCTCCATGGTGTGAAGTACCACTTCCGGAGAAGAAGTTGCGTCTCGACTGTCGACAATGTCATGGGCGAGACGTGTAAGAATTCTGACGAAGCTGCAAAATCGGACAACGTAAGAATTCTCTGTCGCGAACATGGCGATACTTTGGAGTGATTTTAAGAGAAAGTTTAGTAATTCGAGGTCACCCACTGGGAATTGTGGATCTTCGAACTGGCTAGCAAAATGAAAGATGACGTTTGTGGGGAAGGATACAATCAGCCTACGAAACTTTAGTCCCTATTCTTAAATACCTTGGTATGAAGGATCTCTTACCATGCAAAACTAGGGTAGTGATCGTGATTTGACGTTGCGTTCCAAAGTTGTTGGAGAAGTTGCAGACTTGTGCGACAGTCATCAAGAAGCAAGGCCCTTGCCTCTGGCTCTCTGACGAAAGGCCACATCAATCTCATCCGGGCAAAATGGAGAGGAATATCCAGCTCTAGCTTTGAGCAGAACGGAGAGTTTGTGCCGAATAAGCCGTCTTGCTCTTCAGGACGATATGCTGTTCTCCACTCCTCTAGTCGTTCTCGGATGGCTCTTGTTTTTAATGCGATGTGGTCCTGCATGGCGGCGTTCCTGGAGTAAAAGACTGTGTACAGGTCGTCTTCGATTTGTGCAAGAGAAAACTTGGCGTCCATTAGGGAGGGCGGCTCTTCCGACGGCCTCATCGACTCTGTTGTCGTGACCACGTCGGTGGAGGCGCTTGGCAACGAACCAATGTTCCAGCAGACTGCCTTATCAAGACAGTACAGACACTGTAAAACATTTCTTCGTTCTTGAACTTCTTCAGAACTTAGGCTGGATGCTGTCAACGAGGACGCTTGTGGCTGGTACAAGCCCATGGACTTGGCTACGTGGGCTGCCAAAGTCAATGCAAGATTGAAAACATCCTCAGAAAGCCACATTTGGGCGACAAAACACTATGCTCAAAGGTCAGCGAAGTAGCTTTCAGTGGCCTCCCTTGTAATACCCACCAAAGACAGCAGAGCTTGGACGTTCACCAGGCGAGGGCTGAGAAGCTGCTCAACCTGGACCATGGCGCGATTGGCATTGCCGATGAAAGATTGGATAAGCTCGACATCAATTGATTCCGTGATTGGCTCCAGGTTTGACGGTGAGGTGCTCTTCGCCCGCGAGTGCAACGCTTTGGCTGACAGCGTCAATAGTACCATGTTATTGGCACAGATGGCAAACGGCCGGTTGTATGCGGGGTTGGCCTCCGCACGGGAAGCGTCCATCAGGCGGCGGAATCCCTCCCGGGTGAAGATGGGCAAATGGGAGTTGATCGACTCAAAATAAGGCTCAATCAGGGCCTCGACGATCAGCATCGGAGGAGCCTTGATTGCTGAGGCGTCATGTGTGCTGGAATACAGTGGCTGGCCCGTGCTGTAGCCGAGTTCCTTGATCATCTCGCGGGCTGCCGCCGCATTGGTTCCAGCGCCTTCAGGTTCTGGTATTGTAAGTTCATCAATGTTGTGGATTAGTGACAATAAGGAAGACGGCCCAATACAGCGTTCATGTCCCTGGGCGTCGCGGACGATATGATACCCAAGAGAGGACATGTCAGACACTACCGAACTGCTGCTGCTGCTGATGGTGCTGCTGCCATGGTTGGATGTACCTCTTGGTGGGCTGGAGGCGGTACCTGTGAATGCAACAACGTCTTCGCTGGCTAATCCAAGGCGACTTGTCATGCTTGAGTCAAGCCGTTGAAGACAGCGTTGTATGCCGGAAATGTTGCCTTCGATCAGTCGAAGACGTTCTCCCATATTGGAAATAGATTTGTTCCTGCATAGCGTCAATCATCTGAAATCAGGGCTACAACTTGGGTTCATGTCCATGCTCTCGGGGCAGTGATCCACCAATCTGACAGGGGCAGGTAAAAAGAATTGACTTACAGCATCACAGTCTGATTTGGTTTCTTGCCATGACCAGACCAATTGCAATCGAGATTCATGCGAGTGCAATTGGAGCAATTGGGTCGCTCTTTTCCGCAGCGAATTTTCTTGATTCGACACTGGTCGCATGCTAAATCATGATTTACCCGTCAGCGGTTGGTCTTCGATTCCCGAATCCCCAGTGTGCCTAGGTCTAAGCACTGGGCTATAACGTTCAACTTACCTAGATGATCTCGGGTATCTGAAGTGTTGTCCTGCTTATTGTTAGCCAATATGAAATGGCATGCGAATGCGAAGTAGAATGAATGCGCTCTGCCTCAGCCTTTGCGAATGCGACAAAGAAAGTTCAAGGAGCAACTCACTTCGACAGGGCCGGAGCCGGCCCTCGATCGTTTCTTCTGTGACATGGTGACGTAGCCGAGATCGATGCAGGCGGTAAACCAGCCAACGAATATCAAGGCCCAGTGCGTCTATCATTCACCGCTCGTCTTCTAATTGTATGTGAAATGCAACGCGGTGATGGCTAGCGGCTTGCGTGGACCTCTTGTGGAACCGCGCGGAACTTGGAACCCGCGTCTTATATCAAAGAAGCTTTGGAAGTTTTATGGCATCTCGTCCCTAAGGCCAACAGAAGGGCGTAGGCACAGCGGCTCGACCTGCTGCCGACGAGGTGGCACATTTGAGAGAGCTTTAGCCACTCAGATAGCTCCTGGCTGCCGCGTGTGGAGTCCGCTCACACCAAATCACACTACAGTAGGTCCTTTCGGTGTCCAAAGGGATTAACACTTACTGAATCCTTCGAGGCGGAAGCATCAGAGACGGAGCTCTAGGAAGAGACAGGATCTTTGGCTGTATTGGGGGCATACAGTGGTGTCTTGGCAGCCTTCTTGGCGGCTTTGTAACAGTGCGAACTCCAACGGGCACGCCGTCGCCGTCCACATTCGTGGGTAGCATTGCAGATATCCTTCTGTGGGCCACACCAACGTTCCCTTTACTTTTGTGTTGCTCTCTAGTACTCGATGGCCCCCCTAAGAAGACGTCCAGCTAGCGTCTCGGCTGTGGCGCGGCATGCGTCTAATCATCCAACTGTTGAGACGACAGATGCCTATTTGATCGACCAACTGCCGCTCTGGAGGGCATCATTCCCAAATTGGAGGGGTAAGCGAGAAAGGAGCCGTTCGGACGAACGAGCCACCAGTCGGCGTCGTTGCTGATCTGCCTGATCTGTCGGCCGCCAAACATTAGGATCTTTTGTAGAAAAGCCACTGGCGGGACGCCCCGCCCTTTTCTCCGCGCTGCTCCAACAGGGTCATGTTTTTCGCGATGAGATGGGACCAACTTCCAACACGTCACCGCTGAGTGATGCACATGTATGTGAGTCGACAGAGTAAGATGTAATGTAATGATGGCTATGTGCCCAGCCAATTCTCGCCCTATCTGTCCCACTGCGCTAAGCCCTGTCGCTCGCAACTATTGAGTGAGCACCAAAATAGCTACAGTTGCCCCTTGCTGAGTTAATATGATCGTTGCCCAATTTGTCTGAGATTTGCATGAGGCTGTCTCCTTTGGTTTGTAGTCACAAATAACCCCCACGGATTTTCCAAAATAACGGCGTTAAGACAAGTGTCTTTGAGGATAAGGCTTAATCATCTGAAGCTGCAGCAGTCAGATCAAGTGCGCGCCAAGCATGCCCAGCCCCCTTGATGTAAATTACACAGCTGGAGATTGTACATCCCATGTTTGGATGAATTGAAATCTCCGTTGCTACTTGCTTTCAAGACGAAAATGAACCCGAAATATGATGTATTTCGTCCGTCCGTCGCAGACCGGCTAAACTCCTCTCGCATCATACGAGAGTTTGGTTCATGATGGCACAATGAGGCGTATAAAACCTGGCTCGCGCAATCCTTCAGTCTCGGCATAAGAAAAAGGCGCAAATAGGTACCTTTGAGAGTGTGACGAGCTGACTGACTAATTATGAGCGTCATGATCCTTTAGCCTGGGCGCATCTCACGGTCATGCCGCCAAGAAAACTATCCCACGTTGGCGCTTGCACAGCATGTTTATCAGCGGCCGCGTAACTGGCCCGCGGAACCCGCATTTTCTGAAGAAACATCTTGCGATTCCAAGCATTTTCTAGTATTCTCCTTTCAACGACCTTCCATATCTGTTGCCTAGTTCTCGGAGACTTTACCTGTTGATGGTGACGGGATCCGCTGCTCACAGCCCTTTTCCCGTTCACATTGTTTCGGCACCGCCGCCTGACGCTTTGGGGGCTTTTGGGTTAATACACTTCGGGTTCCGTTTCCGTTTCCCCCCTCGGTCCAATTATTGGAGTTTGCGCTCGTCTCTAGAGAAATTGCACACTACCTGTTCGACTTCCCTCTTTGTCTGTCCTGGCTGCAGAGGAGACGCCTGCGCCAAGATGCTGCTTACTTCGGGTCTGAGATATGAGGCGCATTCCGGGCAGGATTCCACCGTCTCACGCCGGGGAATGGCAAGATAGACCGGTCACCAGAAGGGTTCCGGGTTCACCACGGCAGACTGGAGATGTAACCCGGATAGACGATGTTGAAGCAATCGCGGAGAAAGTCGAAACGTATCGAGCATTCGGTTCATGATATTTCACATACGCTTCTAGAAGTTATAAGACGTTTGGAGTGCGTCGTATGGCCCATTATCCTTAGACACAAAGCATCTGCCTCTACATTCGCTCTCACACGCTCCACATCACCCTTTCAGCGACGGTTTAAGTCCCCTTCATACTCTAAGTCTTTCGCAATGGCTCCTATGGCAATCAATGGAACCTACACGGTTGGGTCCGAAAGGACCACTGCAGCTAGTCATGACAACCACGCCCGTGGTGTTGATGGCACTGATCATGCAGACGGCCATGGTACAGCCGCCACAGCTGAGCCCTCGAACGGCCATGCACCGCATTTCGGGTCCTCTCCCAGCAGTGCAGTTGATGAGACCAATAACATCAACCGCCCTATCAACTCTCCCGCCAGCCGCGATGATCAGCCGATTGCCATCTGCGGTATGGCGTGTCGCCTGCCTGGTGGCCTGCACACGCCTCAGCAGTTGTGGGACTTTCTCCTCGCCAAAGGGGATGCGCGAACTCGTGTTCCAGAGTCCCGTTACAACGTCGATGCATTCTATGATACCTCGGGCAGACCTGGTACGGTCAAAACTGAGTATGGTTACTTCCTCGACTACGACATTAGCAAGAGTGATGGGGCCTTCTCCAGCTTCGTTCGAGGAGCGACTGAGAGAGAGGACCCTCATCAGCGCCAGATGAGTGAAGTAGCCAGAGAGTGCATCGAAGATGCCGGCGAGGCCAATTATCGCGGCAAACTCATCGGATGCTACGTCGGCAGCTTTGGAGAGGATTGGTGTGAAATGTTCGCCAAAGATACCCAGCAACACGGTCTCTACAGAGTTGCCGGCTATGGTGACTTCATGCTTTCCAACAATGTCGCCTATGAGATGGACCTCAAAGGCCCAAGGTGCGTTCATGCTGACAGGTTGCACACTTCACGGCGGTTTACTGATATTCTTCTAGCATGACCCTTCGAACCGGATGTTCTGCTGCTCTCGTTGGCCTTCATGAGGCGGTGACTGCCATACAGAGAGGCGATTGCACCTCTGCCATCGTTGGCGGTGTCAACCTCATTCTGGCGCCTGGTATGACGCAGGCAATGACGGAGCAGGGGGTCCTCTCTGCAGATGGCTCGTGTAAGACTTTCTCATCGGAGGCAAATGGCTACGCCCGTGGCGAGGCGGTCTGCGCCGTCTATCTGAAGCCCCTGGACGCCGCGCTCAGAGATGGAAACCCTGTACGTGCGGTCATCAAGGGAACTGCCACGAATGTAAGCTTCAATACTGTCATGCGATCATTCCGAGCACTAACCTGTCTCCAGTTTGATGGTCGAACCAATGGTATCTCGCTTCCCAGCACTGAGGCTCACGAGGCTCTGTAAGTAACTCTTTGGGTTCAATGCGCGTATCACTTTGTTCTAAGGCTGACCAATATCTGTACAGGATGAGGCAAGCTTACGCCCGAGCTGGTATCACTGACTTTTCGGACACTACATTCGTCGAGTGCCACGGCACTGGTACTCCTATTGGTGACCCCATCGAAGCGGGCGCTGTGGCTCGGGTTTTTGGCGGTTCACAGAACGGTGTCTATATCGGCTCTGTCAAGCCTAATCTTGGTCATTCCGAGGGAGCTTCTGGTCTGACTTCGCTCATCAAGACGGTAATGGCCCTCGAGAACCGAACGATTCCTCCGAATATCAAGTTCACCCCGCTCAACCCTAATATCCCGTTCGAGGAACGCAACATCAAGATTGCTGCTGAGCCCCTTGCGTGGCCTGAAGATGGCTACGAACGAGCAAGTGTCAACTCTTTCGGAATTGGGGGAACCAACGCTCATGCTATCCTCGAATCAGCCAGATCACAGGGAATCGCTGCCACCAAGCCAACGGTTGACACCAGTGAGCCCCAATTGCTTCTATTCTCCGCCAATTCCTCTGAATCCCTGAAGAAGATGACGGAAACGTATCAGTCCTTCGTCCAAAACAATGCGGAGAAGCTCGACCAGATCGCATACACGCTGGCGAACGGAAGAGAACACCACTCATACCGAAGCTTCGCAATTGCCAGCAAAGGCGGCAGCATTGCTCCTTCTGTTTCATCTAGAGTACCACAACAGGCTCCCAAGATTGTGATGGTCTTCACTGGCCAGGGAGCTCAGTGGCCCGCGATGGGTAGCGAGCTCCTTCAGCAAGACAACTCCGTTTTCCGCTCGACTATCCGCAGGCTCGATGGTTACCTACAAGACGCTCTCGGTAGTTCAGAATTCTCCA